TTCTCTGCCCTTCCCTGGGACCTGCTGTCCTGGTCTACTCTCTGCCTGGCCAGTGCGTCTCACCTGGACTATCTGCCTGTGGATTCTGCTCCAGCTACCTTGTGTGCCTCACCCACACCTCTGCCATGGCCCTCCTCAACCTTCCCCTGTCCAGGCTCGGTGAACGTGCCTCGTCCAGAGGCTTCCTTCCCTCCTCTTCCCTCCCTCCGTCTCTCTCACTCCTTCCCCTACCTCCCTCTTCGTTTGTGTGTCTGCTTATTTTTTGGTAGAAGACACTTTATAGCAGCCTGAATGTTTATTTTTCCATCTTCTCTTTTCAATGACAAGAATCTGAGAGGAGGTCTTTTGGGGCCAGAGCACCAGGGGCTGCCCCAGCTTCGTGCTGCCTCGGGAGCAGTGCTGGCTGGTTCTGCAGCAGGCTGAAGCGGCCAGGCTGAGAGCTGGGAAGAGGAAACCGGCCAGCTGCAGATGGGGGCGCAAGGGTCTTTAAAATCCTTCTCTGAGACTGAGGCCCCCTCCAAGCCCCAGGGCACAGCCCTCACCCTTTGTAGGACACTCCTCACGCTTCCCAGCTCTTCTGGGGGCCCTGCCACCCATGGCCAGCCTTCCGGGGATGCTTAAGCCTCTCCCTGGACCCCTATATTATTTGGGGGCTCTGTCATTAAAGCAAGAGGATTAGATTCTGAGGAAGCAGGTGGAGGGTAGGGTCCAGGATGGCCCGTCTGTGTTCATGTGCATATGTGAGCATGTGTGCATGTGTGTGTGTGTGTGTAGGGGACAGGATGGGGCTCAGAATTCCCCACCTGACCTCCCAGAAGAGGGGGAGGTGAGGAGGCCTCAGAGGCTTTTCCCTGTGAAGGTCAACAGTGGGGTGTCCCTGTGTGCTCTGCTGTGTGGAGTGCTCCCTGTGTGCTCTGAGTGCTCCCTGTGTGCTCTGAGTGCTCCCTGTGCTCTGAGTGCTCCCTGTGTGCTCTGCTGTGCTGAGTGCTCCCTGTGTGCTCTGAGTGCTCCCTGTGTGCTCTGAGTGCTCCCTGTGTGCTCTGAGTGCTCCCTGTGCTCTGAGTGCTCCCTCCCTGTGTGCTCTGCTGTGCTCTGAGTGCTCCCTGTGTGAGTGCTCCCTGTGTGCTCTGAGTGCTCCCTGTGTGCTCTGAGTGCTCCCTGTGCTCTGAGTGCTCCCTGCGTGCTCTGCTGTGCTCTGAGTGCTCCCTGTGTGCTCTGCTGTGCTCTGAGTGCTCCCTGTGTGCTCTGCTGTGCTCTGAGTGCTCCCTGTGTGCTCTGCTGTGCTCTGAGTGTCCCTGCGTGCTCTGCTGTGCTCTGAGCACTGCACTCAGCACATGGTGAGGGGCCATAAATACGGCTCAGAGAATGAGGAGGACACAGCTCGCTCCTGTGACAGACTGGATGCTTTTGTCCCCAACAAGTGGGGGAATGGCAGGCTGTGGCCTCGACCAGGCCCCGCCCACCGTGGTCCCTGCCACTGCGTGGGCTTGCCCTGAGAAGCCACCTGCAGCCCAGCCCAGGCCCCCACTCTGCTCCCACCCCTGCTGGGCTGCGGAGCCTCGAGAGCCTTCGAGGGGACTTGGTCACTGGGCCTTTTGCCTCCCACTGTGGTTCCACTCCTTCTGCCAGCCACGAGCCTGGGGTGAGCCCTGAGGTCCCCTAAACCCCGCAGCACCAAGGGGTCGGGCGTGGGGCATAGGGGTGCACGTGGAGGGGGCCATAGGCCTGTGGTCTGTGCTATGGGTGATGGTTGGTATCTCCCACTGCGCAGTGGGGAAAAACATGCCATTACAATCAGGGACAAGCTGTTATCTCCCACTCAGCTCGGGCTGAGGAAAACAAAACCAGGCTGGGCCTATCGGTGGCGCTGGGACGCAGCACCTTCGCCCAGCTGGCGGCAGGGGAGGGATGCAGGACGCACAGGACTCGCCTACCAACGCCAAGGAGGCTCGGGCCCAGGCAGAGGTGGCTGCGCTGGAGTGGGTCCCCGCGCTCTGGACTCGGCAGCCTGTGGATCGCTCGTGTCTCCATCCTCTAAGCCAGCGGCTGCAGGCGGGGCTGGGCACGACCCGTTAAAATGAAATAACCTCCTGTCAGCTTGGCTTGCAAGGTGCGGAGGAGAGGTGTGGGGGCGCCGGGAGCACCGCCTTCAGCTCGGCCTCTGGGGTGTGGAGACATTTGCACCCAGAGAAGGTGGCCTGAGTTTCAGGCATGACACGTAAAGATCTCTGTGCTGGGGAGGGGAGCAGTGGGGTTGGAGCTTCTGTTGGGTTCCTTCATCACATCTCCCCACCCTGTCTTTGCTCCCTCTAATTCCTCCCCATCTCTTTCAGGGGGTTAGGTTCCCTGGCCCTGGACTGGCTGCCAGGCTGGGCAGCATCAGTGTCCATGTGGCCTCGGGGGATGACTGGGGATCCCCAGGGATGGACTCTGTTTCCATTCCTTCCTGTGGGCACCTCCCCTGCCAGGGCTGCTCTGGGGAGGGCAGCTCCATCCGCCTCAAAGGCAAGAGAACTGATGAGTCAGGAAGGGTGGCAGCCCCGGCAGATAGCCCGCCTCTCCCCAGGCTCTCCTCCCACCCAGGCCCTGGGCTGCTTCTGCTTTGGGGGTGGTGGGAGAGAGCAGCAGGGCAGGAGTCTCCCTGGACCACCTGCCTCCATGCTGGCTCTGGGAGCCCTGTCTGGGGAGGAGGTGACGTTGAGAGTTGAAGCAAATGCTTGGGAATCGCCTCCAGGACCAGAAGGGTATCCTGTGGTCTCCCTGAAAGCCCCGACAGGACCAGGGGAGACTTGAGGGCTTTCAGATGCTTCTGCTTCTCCGGTCACTGGGGCAGCTGGAAGCTGGGGCTGTGGGGGTGTGGACACCAGGCTCAGAGGAGGCTTGGCACAGATCTTCAGTCCTCCACAGACCTCCCTGCCCAGGGCCTGGTGCAGTGTGAGTTCTAGCTCTTGCCTTTTCTGCTCCTGCTGAGAACCAATCACTTAGGTCGCAGAGAAGCCTGCCGCCTGCTTTCTGTCCCCACCAGGCCAGGCCCCTTCCTGGGGCCCCTTGCTGCCCAACCTGGGCTGCCTTCCACCTCCACCTGAGTCCTCTACCTCTGCTCAGGTCCCCTGCCCCCAGGCCCTCTCCCAGCCACCTCCCTGGCTGCATTTCATCCATGGAACTGTTCATATTACTTACTTTTGCCATTGAAAAGTGGCTCCCACGCCCAGCACTGGGCACTGGGCTCGGCACCGATGGTCCCTGAAAGGGCAGATGTTCCCCAGGCGTTGCTCCAGGGCTGCTGAGCTCTCTGGGATGCTGATTCTGCTTTTCAGTGTGGGGGTTTGTACTCCGTTCAGTGACTGGATTTTAGGAAAAGAAACAAATTGGTTAATGTATTATTGTTGTTGTCGTTGTCGTTTAAAACTCCGTTGTGAAATTTCTGGGTGCTGCCAGTGGTGGGGGCGATTCAGGGAATCACACAGCTCAGCCACTCCCTGGCCACCCCGATCTCATGACTCTATCCCAAAGACAGTCTCTCGGGTTGGTCAGAGTGGATCTCCTAGATCGTTTTTGTGTCCTGTCTGGCTGACGGCACACATACCCTGTTTGGGTTGGAGTAAATTAAGAAAACAAGACTTTCCAGGCTCAGGTCTACCCCTGCCAGCCCCTACCAACTAAACAAACAGAGTCCTCCGGCCCCCTCCGTTTCCCGGGAATTCCTGCTCTCCGGTGTGATAGTGGGATATGATTCTAAATACACCCAGAAGTATTAATGGGGGAGTAACTTTTGTGGGTTCATTCTTCATTCATTTACTTATTCACTCAGAAAAATATGGAGCGAGCCCCAGCTGTGTGCCGGGCACATCCTGGGCGTTGGGGATTCAGCACTAAATCCAGCAGATGTGAATATGCCTGCCCTCAGGGAGCCTGCATTCCAGCTGAGGCAAGGCGGGATGGCGGGATCCCAGTACATCCACATGAAGCCAGATGTGCTAAGTCCCGGGGGGGAAATTCATGGGGAAAGGAGAAGGAAATGCCAGAGGAATGCTGGTTATTTTGATGGGGTGTTCTGTTCCTGGATGGCCTCGGAAAGGTGCCATATGTGCACAGTTCTGAGGCAGGTACACAGGGAGGCAGGGAGGAACGGAGGGAGGCAGACAGGGAGCGAGGGAGGGAAGGAGCCCTGCAAATGTGCAGGGAAGAGCATTCCATGCAGTAGACGTGCAAAGGCGTGGTGCGGGGTGGGGTCCGGGAGGCATGCGCCTGCGTGGAGGGACGGCCAGGAAGCCAATGGGACTGCAGGGGGAGAGAGGGAGTGTGCTAGGAGAAGGGGCCAGACTGCCGAGAGCCCCAGAGGCCAAGGAGGGTTGGCCATGAAGCTGTCTACGAGCGCACAGCCGCCTTGTGAGACCTTGCATCTGATCTTCTTAGGAAGTCCCCAAATCATAGAAGCCCGACTCACCTGGCTTGCAGGCCGCTGAAACAACTTTAAGTGTTTCTTCCAAATGATACAGGACACCAGTGGAAGGCTGTGTCACCAGATCAGGACAGTGACATCATCGGAAGAATATTTTTAAAAGAGAGGGACAAAGTAGCTGGGGGAGTGCAGACAGTGGTGGGTCCTGGAATCTAGGCTGGATGGGGGAGGAAGCGAGAGCAGGCGGCGGTGGGAGAGGCGATGGGGAGGGGCCAGCGTGGTGGGGTGGAAGAGTTGCTGGGGGTGGAGGACCATTGCAAGTGGGCTGGGAGAGGGGCGGACCCTGGGATGGACTGCACCGTTGGTTGTTCGGCAATAGGGTCCTAATGATGTGTTTTCTGCAAGTTTCCTTTTACTCCCCTGGGGCATAAAAAGCGAAGTGCCCTTTGGAGGGTGCCAATCCCTGGTGGCAAATGGTTGGCTTTGAAGCTGTCCCCCCCTTGTTTATTAGCACCAAATGTTTGTTTTAGATCAAAAGGAAGATGTTTCCTTCAAAGGCATTTTTTTTACTTGCTTTTTTCCCCCTGCAGGTTGAAATTCTGTCTCTGAGACGCTAACAATCTTCCTGCAGTCGCTGCTCCTCCCCAGCAGCCCCCTCCTTGCCAAGGACGGTCCAGAAGGAGCCCCACTGGGGCCTCCCCCCACAGCAAAGCAGATCTCACCTCCCACTACCAGGTAAGGCGGTCCCACCACGCCCATCCCCAGAGTTTGCATTTGTGGAGGAAATACATTTTAATGCGGCGATTTTATTTTACAGAAAGGGTTGCGGGGTAGGGATGTTCTGTGCTGGTCTCTAGTTTTCAGGTCATGGTGTCTTTGTGGAGTAGGAGGGGGGCGTCGACGGATGCCCAGGAAGGTATGGGGTAGAATTTTTAAGGAGTGACCGCTTTTTGTACCCTGAAGCCCATCAGCCTGGCTTCGGGGCAGTTAGTCCTGGAAGGAGGGTGGGCGCGGTGTGGGGTCCGCTGTCTGGTGTCAGCAGAGATGCCATAGAATCCAAGGTCAGGGCCTGACCTTCCCCTGCACGGTTCATGTTCTGCTGCCCAGATTGCCCTGCAGCTCAGGGAGGGCCCTGAAGCCTTCGTGCGGCTCTAAAGGGGACGGCATGAGGCCTCTGTTCCCACCGTCCCCCGTTCAGCTCTGACACTAACTGCCAGAGTCAGCGTCCGACTCCACAGGGTTCGGGCAAAGCGCTTTGTAAGACGGCTCTCACTTCGAATGCAACCTGCCAAGGCCACCTGCACTTGTGACCAGTGGCAAATTCAGAGGTTCCCAGGACCCCTCAGTTTTGATAATTTGCTACAATTCACAGAAAACAACAAAAAGGCACTACACTAAAAATGACAGGTGTATGACAGTCGTGTGACACACATAGGTTGAGGTCGGGCAGCGTCCTGGATACGGAGCATCCACACCCACTCGCCGTGGTGCTAGGATGCACCACCCTGCTGGTTCACCCACAAGTTCACCACCCGAAAGCTCCCCGAGTCACGTGGCTGAGCTGTCTCCAGCCCTCTCTGCTCCCCTGAGGTGGGGAGTGAAATTTCCAAGCCTCTCATCACGTGCACGGCCAGCCTCACGCTGGAAGCCTCCTAAGGGTCCTTATGAGTTGCAGGTCAGCACATGGTCAGGTGTGGGCAGGAGTGGCTTGTTATGACTAACAGAAGACACTCCTATCCCTTGGAAACTCCAGAGGTTTTAGAGATCACCTCCCAGGAACGAGGGACAGACACCAGGTGAATTCTTTCTTAAGCCCCCGTGAGGTTCAGTGCAGCCCCATTCCCTGCTGATAGACAGGGCAAAGCTGTGGGTCATTGACCCCCATGCAGGGAGGACTGGAGCCCTGAAGCCTGCAGGCAGGCTTGCATGACGACCCTTTCTGGGCTGAGCAGATGATACCAAGAACCGTAGGCAAAGAGATCAGAGGCCCAGACACAGGCTGGTCTCTCCAATACCCATCAAAAGATGCCCTTTCCAGAGCCCACAGAATCGGAAATCTCCACACACAATCTGGGTGCATCTCCAGGCATGTGCTGCTTGCTTCTCTCTGGTGAAGGCCATGGGTGCCTTTCTCTGCTCCAGGGCTCCCTGGGGTCTTCTTGCCGTAGCTCATCGATCCAGACTGTCCTGCATTATTCATTCCACAGCCTCGAGCCCCCGATGTACTGAGCCCTGTTTGGGGTGCTGGAGATGCAGTGGAGACAAGGTCAAGTTCTGGCCCTCATGGTGTTTATATTTAGCAGGGACATGGAGAATAAATGTATGTTAGGCGCACATAATGCTGTGAGGATAAATGCAGCATGCTAAGACCAAGGCGAACGGTGGGGTCTGTGGCTTGCACAGGACAGAAGGGCAGGCCCCGGGTGCTGATATTGTGAGCCGAGACAGAAGGAAGGGAGGGAGGACCCCAGGATGTCTGAGGGGAGAGCATTCCAGACAGAGGGAATGGCCAGTCCAAGGCGCTGAGGCAGCGACATGCGGGCATGCTGGAGAAGTAGCAGGAGGGGCTGGCGTCCCGGGGTCTGGGGACTGTGCAGGTAGAGGAAGGAGGTGACGAAGAGGGTCCAGGACTGGATGCAGAGGCCTTTAGGTTGGGGCTGAGGATTTTGGATGTTGTCTTAAGGGTGGTGGGAGCCACTGCAGGGTTCTGAGTGAGGGATTAAATGGCCTGATTTGGGATGTATGAAGATGCCACCACCTTCTGTGAGGGGGACAGAGTGGAAGCAGGGGACAGCCCAGGAGCCCACTGTCCCACTCTATCCCCGGGAGCACTAGCTCTGCCATGGACCCAGGAGGAGAAGAGTGGTGGATCTGGGCCCATGTCTGAGATAAGCCCTTAAACAATTCCCCTCCTCTGCTGAAACGGCTGTCACTCCATTCCGTAAACCATCAGGGACCCCTCGGGGAGCCCAGATGGGAAGGCCACACGCCCCAGCCGGTACCAGGACAGAGAAGCAGCAATGTGACTGTTTAGAGGGCAGGAATCCCACTCCTCGTTCTGGCTCCTTCTGCCCTGGGGCTCGCCGCAGTGTCGTGGTGAAGGCAACGCTGCTGTGCCATCAGCCACAGCTCCTGGTCAGGTCACTCTGTGCCAAGATCACCGTGCTTGCAGGCTGTCTGAGAAAATGTATATTGGACACGAGGTTTGGGGCTGGCCTCAGCGCAGGACGAGCGACCCCCTGACATCATGCTCTGTCTCTGGAACCCCAGAGGCCTAGTTCCAAGAAGATGCTTGCAGCTCTGTCCCTAGGGGAGAGCCCCCATGTACAGACATCCTGCAGGCCATGACAGTAGCACCATCTCCCGTGCTCCTCTGAAAATGCTACTTCCTGCTGCCTCCAAGAAGGAGGTTGCAGGGCCCAGCCTCACCTTTCTGTGGGTCTGAGAACCTGTGTCCCCCAAATAGGTAAATTCTTGGGGTCATCAACAGTGAAAGCACAAGACCAGCCCACCCCCGAGGGAGGGTCTGGGAAGTCCAGGGGCTGGTGGGGTCACCCCACAAGCTCTTTTGGACCTGAGCTGCTTCCCTCGGTGTGTTCACTGTCCAGCCCCTTGTTGATTCCAAAGGTGTGCTCTGAATTGTGAAGTGAGGAATCTGCATTTCAGAGTCTTCCTTTTCCGGAAGGGCGAGGTCAAGGGGAGAGAAGGAAGCCCCTCTGAGCAAGGAGCAATGCGGTCTGAGGCCTGTGTGTGGCTTTGACTCTCTGCCTGTCTTTTATTCACCGTCGGGAGGGTGGGTGGTGGGTGTCTGAAGGAAGAGGGCCAGGGACACGTATCTGAGGTCGGGTGTGCCTGCAGACACCCTCCCGCCCCGCGTGCTCCTGGGTTATCCCTGCGGCCTGGACATGGGCTTCAGAGAAGCGGCTGCCAAAACCACCTTCGGGCTACCGGAGCTCTGGCATGTGGATGCCATGAATGGCCCAAAGGAATGTGACTAGAGGAAGGGGCTTCCTAAGAGGGCCTTGGAGATCAGTGATGGAGAAACCCGGGCAGGGAAAAGCCTACAGGAGCTTTTGCCCCTGTGAGGCGGGCTGGCCTTTCTGATTCAGGAATGGCCTTGGCAAGGAGGCCTTTGAGCGGGACTCCCCATCACTGCAGGCGAATCCTTGCTTCAAAGGAGAGTGTGGGGAGGAAGCCGCTTCCGCCTAGGACATTGCCTCAGCCCCGGTTCATTTCCTCTGCCTTGGAAAGGGTGCCGTCAGTTAGATCCCATTTTAAAGCTCATCCCTTTAAATATGGATTCAGTTTGGGTTTTACTTAGTAAATTCTAAGTCCTTATTAAAAACATGGATGGAAATTAATCTGCTGCAAAACGAGATTTGTCTGTTACATGCAGTGGCTGAGGCCTGGGGCAGAGGGGTCTTTCAGGTCCACAGGGAAGAGATGGACCTGAGCAAAAGCTCCAGAGGACGGTCATCTGCTCCTCCAACCCTGACCCACCCCTTCCTTTCCCCTCCCCTTCGCCACTCTCATGGGGTAATAGGAATTTTCCTAAACCACGTTGCTGTCCATTGTTGGGGTCACTCAGAGGAGCCAAGGAGTGTGGTCAGTTGTCTCTTCTCCAGATGTTTTTGGGGACGGGTGCGCCTTTGTTCTGGAGCTGAGAGATAAGCAAAGTCTTCTGCCCTGATGCAGACAGCATGAGACGGGAGCGGAGGCTGCGGCGCACCCCGTGGGGTTGAGAGTGAGCCTGCCATGGTCAGACGGGAGCCGGGGCTGCCGTGCACGACGAGGGGCTGAGAGTGAGCCTGCCGTGGTAGTGCAGCTTACACTATCCAAACTCATCCATCCACCCCGGCCCCCACCCTCGGGGACGCACCCATGAGTGGCAACACGTGACTTCCCATAAATCATCTCCGAATGAGCATGCTTCCTGCACTCATCCATCATGCCCGTCTCTTGTCTGCTTGTTTTTAAAAGCTGTTAAACTGGAATCCATCACAGGGGAGCATGGCACCCTCGAGGGCCAAGCTGAGACACGGGCTGCCCGCATCAGCTGTGGGAACGTGCGCGGGGCTTTCTGGAGCACAAGCTTGAGCGTTGCCTGGCGGCAGGAAGAGGGAGATCATGGCTTCATCTAGTTACACCAGAAGTGGATGGGACGTTGCTCCCAGGCTTGCAGCGAATGCATTCCTGCCGCAGGAGCTTGTCCTACGTGCTCCTGGGTGGAACAGGCGATGCCCAGCCGAAGGATGTTGCTGGGGTCTCTCCTTCCTGCGGGGGCATCTTATTTCCTTCTTGGATCCAATATTTTAATGAGAAGACTTTAGTTTGAGCCGGTCTTTGGAGACATGGGTCCTAAAATCTTCCGTGGTTCCTTTTCTGTTGATAAATGTATTTGGAAAATATTTAGGAAGGGTGCCAAGCTCAGCCACTTCAGTCCCTCATTCTGATCCTGCCTAATTCTGCCACCCTGCCCCTTTGCTTGCTTGTTCTCGGAACAAGCTCTGAGGATGTCCCTGTGAGAAAGAGGATGCAAGACAAGGACCTGGGGCCCCACTCCATTGCTTCTGTTTCTCCCTTTCTTCCTCCTCCTCCTCTTTTCCTCTTTTTTTTTTTTTTTGAGACGGAGTCTCTCTCTGTTGCCCAGGCTGGAGTGCAATGGCGTGATCTTCACTCACTGCAAGCTCCGCCTCCCGGGTTCACGCCATTCTCCTGCCTCAGCCTCCCAAGTA